GGGCTTTCCTCTAGTATGAGCACCCTGGGTAATACCCTTGGGAGTTGCTCAGTTAGTCTGGAGTCCTAGGGGAAGGTCAGCCCTGGGTATAGAGGTGGGCATCACTACAGACGGATAGAGGAACCTCCTGAGTGCTGAGCTGACAGAGTGGAGGATGGAGCTCAACAGAGTTGTGTGGGTGTGCAGAGTACCACAGGAGCCTGGGGATGGGTGCACAGGACTGGGACCCAGAAGGATGCTCAGATGCAGGCTGCTAAGGGAGGGAAGTGAAGGAGATAAGAAACAGAAGCAGCTTGTAAACCTGATAAGGAAGGGTGGGGAGGAAGGCTTCCTGGGAGACACTATGGATGAGGAAGTTTGGGGCTGTGGGTGTCAAAGGTGTTCAGTATGTCACCAAAGAGTGAGAGCTTTTTCCTGTGTGTGTGTGGGGGGGGGGAAGGGGGAGCTCAGCAAGAGTTTGACACAAGAAAGACTCAATCAGACCACGTTGAGTAGCCAGCTGTGTGGGGCAACCATGTCCAGACATATGTCCATGGGACTCTGGTACTCAGTGCACAGAGTGCACGTGGCTCTCCCTGCCCTCTTACACTCCAACTCATGTAGACTCAGCGCAGCCAGATTTTCTCAGTGGGGAGATAGGAGCAGAATCTGGAGGCCGCTGTGGAGTGTGGATGAAGGGCCAGGGCCAGCCCTTCCCCCTCTTTGTCTCTTTGTTCTCAGCCTGCTGGGCCAGTCTGTGCCCAGCATAACTGCCTCCACCCTTCCTCCTGTCTGCATTTGGGTGCCATAGGCTCCTGGTCTCCAGGACCCTCACTGGGAGCCCGCTGTGGTTTCTGCCTGACATGGCAGGTATTACCTCAACCAGCAAGCAGTCTTGGTAGAGAAAGTGTTCTCTGTGGGAATACACCGTCCACCCTGGGAGTGCCTTCCATGTACCTCCTCCACTGCCCTGCACAGCTGGCCATGGTCTGTCATTAAAAAGGTTCCTCGATGTAATGTGTTTTGAACTGCTTACCATGTGCTAGATCCCAACCTAAGCATACCATCTAATCCTCTTCAGTCTTTTGAATGGATTCTCCTGTTATACCCATTTCAAAGATGGGGGTATTATAGCTCAGACTGATTAAACAACTTGACTATGGACTTACATACAGTGGTTATTTAGGACTTTTTTTTTAGTTGCCAATGGATATTTTTATTTATTTATTTATTTGGTGCTGAAGATCAAACCCAGGGTCTCACACATGCCAGGCAAGTGCTCTACCACTGAGCCACAACTCTAGCCCTGATATTTAGGACTATTAATG